TCAACCCAATGTGTATCAACTATCTCAACAATACATGTCAAATCACATGAACCAAGTGTACGTGAATATATCTCGGTGTGCGTATCCATATATGGTGTTCACCAACATCACAAGTGTTAAACAACTCTTAAACCTCATCATACACCATTACAAGGTCGAGAAACTCTCTCGAAAACATCAATGTGGGTCAAAAACATGCACAGGCTAACTGCCAGACTGGCGGTCGACCACATACATGCAGCGGTCGACCGAACCGCAAACCAGAAGCTTCCTAGGCCTTTGTCTAGCACGTGGTTGACTGCTACTTAGGCGCGGTCGACCACCGCATAGGCGCGATCGATCGAACCCGATATTTTTAAAAATTGTGTAGGTTTCTGCACAGTTGTGTTCGTGTCGTGTTCTTATGATTTAAACTTGTTTAATACAATATGAAACTTGCATGAAATATTGAAAATAGCAGATTAACATCTCTGGAAACAATTTTAACATATAAAACATGATTATTTATATAATAAATCATATTTAAACCCTCAATCATGCACGGAATCTCAAAACGAAGAACAAATCATCTAAATTCAGATAAACAACATTATTAATCATTTTTAGATCTTAAAATACTTCTGTAAATTCATTTTAATTTCTTTAACATGAAAAGACCTAGTCTTTATACATATAATATAAAAGATCTGCTTTTATTTACACAAATTAATTAATTAGGCTCTATAAAACTTATTCAAAACTCTTTAAAAACATTTTAAAACAGAGATAAGGATTAGCAGAGATGAAACTCGCCTGAGACTTGATCTAAATCGTGAGAGATGAAGTTTCAAAGCCTATCTCCAAGTTGTAAACCCAAAACAATCTGAAATCTCGCTCAAAAGCCTTCAAATCTTTCTCAAAAATCAAATTAGGATTTATGGGGGAGTTTGGTGACTGCTAGGGTTTCAAAATACTAAAAACTCGTGAATAATTGATATATATATATCAGGGAAAACGAACATGGGCCTTCAAAACCCGAAACCAAGTCAAAACAGGAAAAACAGCGTGCAAGTATCGCGGTCAACCGTGACGGTCGATCGGACTGCGGTCGACCGGACTGGAATTTTCTAGTTTCTCAAGATTTGCCTTAATTGTGCATGTTTTCGATTCACCTCTTTTTCATTTACTGACTTGTTTATACTCAAAACACTTGTTAGTGTACTTATACACCATGAAATGATATTTATCATAATAAATATCTACTTATTATAATTAATCACACATTAATTATATTATCACAAATTTTTGGGGGTTTACAATTAATTCACTGAAAGGAGTGAAGTTTTATTTAACATATGCGATAGAAATAATTTTTTGAGATGAACAGCACAAAGATTTTAATTCATGACTATCCACCTCGAATCATTTACCATTTAGGTCATATTTTATGCCCATAATCCTTCTTAAATTTTAGTTCTGATCAATTCATTATTTTTTATAGGTCGATTCATAATTTTTTATTTATACCTTGATTTGATTAATTAAACTTTATATAATTATATAGACTTTTATTATTTAGAAAATTTATAGACTTTATCTATATTTATGGAAAAATACTGATTAAAATATTCTATAAATAAGAAAATTAGGTATACATATTATTTTTACCCTATTATTGAATAAATATGTGAAAATAATAGGAGGAGGAGATAACGAGGACACTTGACTTTCAAAGAGATCACCTTCATTATTTGAACTTGAAATCCTCCTTTGCTTATATTGTCCTCATTATTTGTGTATTAGTGTAAATAAATTGCAGCATGGATATATGCTTTGAACCTTATCTTTTTATTTATAGATATTTATTTCTCTTTGTATCTTTTATCACATAAAATATTAAAAAGATATTCAATTATGTATGCTCCATCTTTTTTCATGATGGCATAGAATGTTCTTTTTCATGATATTTGAATTGCATAGAACGCTCTAGAAAGAAAAGAAATAGAATGGATAAACAAATCATTCCTTATAAAATTATGATCTTACCCTTTTGAAAATAATTAGAAATAATGTTTTGTCCACCACTCATCTATTATCTTCCTACCCCTAGTTGGTTTTTTCTATATTGGTAGAGGTATACATGTGCTTCTAAATTGAATTGACTAGAATTTGTTTTTGAACTAATGTCTTTTCTTTTCAAATTTTTAGTATATACTCTATTTTTTATGGTTATGAACATACAAACGGCTAATACCAATAATTTATAGGATATAGATTATTGAAAATTAGATTTGACTTGGAGCTTTTTTTCAAAATAGTTTCCTACGTAAGAGAAATTCAAAATAAGGGGGTGGATGACTTTTATTTCAAAGTTTGAAATATAGAGTTAGATAGCTTAACCACGAATATCTCATTTATAATATTCCTCTTAATTTATAATATTTTAAGATAAAAAGTGAAAAAGAAAAGGTATGCTTGCTCATAATTTCTCGAATGAGCATGTGGATATTTTTTTTATTTCAAATTTTTAAATTTTAAATTTTAAATTAGATAGTTTAATCATCAAACTCTCTTTTGTAATATCTATCCTCTTTTATAAAATTTAAAAAATAAAAAGAATATAAAAAAAAGTAAGCGCTTCATGTGTGATCACATCACCTAACATATCTCTTCAATGTAGGAACAATAGAGATTTTGCTAGCTGATAAGGCCATCTTAAGTTGAAGTTCTATCATAAGAATTTTTGAGATTTGATATGAACTAAAGAATATATTGGCTTAAATCTAGCAACATGAAGTGATCAAATAACATGTTGCAATTAGATGAGATATAATGATTTAATCTAAAAAAATCTTATGACTGAATTTAGAATTTCAACTTAATTGTAAGTATTATAATTTAGAATTCTATGATCCTGAGTAGACTTCTAAATTCTTTAGGTTTTTATAATGAAATATTTTTATTAGGCTAATTGCAAATATTGAGTACATATGATCAGAGTGAGTATGAAACCAAAAATATATCAACGGGGAATTTCAGTTTGTACATCTTCTTGTCCAAATGAATAACGTACTAGAAACGACTTGTAGAATGCGTTTAATCTTGAGTTGCTTGATTTGTAGGATAAATATTTTTTATGGCCATCTAATTTTTGCTCTCCTAATCAATTTGAAATATCTAAATGGAATTCATGTATTATATTTTACTCAGAAATAGACTTTTGAAGAATGTCACGTACAATATTTTGAGGCCTTTACACATTGAGTTGAAGCTATCATTAGAATTTCAATTTAATTAGAAATGTATATGTGATATTAAAATATTTATAAAATACCATAAGAATCTAAATATTTATTCCTAAAATAATATTATCAAACCCATTAGAATTTTAATCTAATTATTAGAAAAAATTAGATAAAGCAAGTAGAATTCAAGATAATATTTTGGATAGCTTTTGTAAATAATTTGTTTATTTTTTCGGATTATAGGGAATATGTTTGTAATAGAAATTTAATTTTATAAATATTTACATGTGATATGATTTTATGGTGTTTTACGTAATACTTTAAAGAGAGATACGGATGAACCATTAACCCCTCTTCATAGAAATAAACAAAAACATGATATCAAATTAGTAAATAATAAAAAATAACAAATTCATTAATAATATTCTAAGAGTAATTCTAATTTATCAACTTTACATATAATTTGAATAGGTTTATTTTTGTGTATACGATTTTAGGATTAATTTTAGAAGACCGCCTCAATTATGGTGGATGCCTTCGAAAATTGCTCTCAATTATTTTAGTTTGAGAAAATTCCCCTAAGTTTGGGTATATTATAGATGACCCCATTCAACTTTGAAAATTACAGAAAATCCCTCAACTTTAGGGTTTGATAATACCCCTCTAATCTTCCACACTTTTCTCACCCAATGCCCTGACGTTATTTCAAAATGTAAAATAACCAAAATATCATTTTGAAAATCAACACATTCAATTACAAAAGAAATTCCCAACTAGTAAAAAAGGAACTATTGTCAATTTACAATGCTTTTCGTCCTCATTCTGCTCTATTTCTCTTATCCTAAAAAAATCAGGGTGGTTTTTTTAAGATTGAGGGGTATTTTGATCTTTTCTAATGTAACATGCTAGACCTAAAAAACCAGAGAATTTTTTTACAATTGAGGGAGATTTCTTGAATTGTCAAACTTGAGAGTGTTATTTACAATAGGCTCAAATTTGAGAGGGTTTCTCAAATTAAAATAACTGAGAGGGCTTTTCTAAGACACCCCCATATTTGGAGGGATTAAGCAAAGAAAGTTCAAGTGGTAATCTCAAAATTTCATGGTTGAGCGGCGTTATCTACAATATGCTCAAACTTGTAGGGATGTTTCTCAAATTAAAATAATGGAGAGGGGTTTTATAAAATCAACTCATAATTTTATGTAGAGAGACTCTTTACATGAGTTTTTTAATTTAATATTTAAATATATATTTATTATAATATTTGTTTTAATTATAGATAGTTATAGTTTGATAAGGATCACAAAATATTTGAGTATTAGAATTTTCTAATTATGGATAGTTTTAATTTGATTGGAGTTTTTAGTTAAATATAAGATTTACGTTTTCACATATATCATGTTATGATAGAATAAAGAAACAAGTGGATACTTGTGCTATGACGCATATCAGCTTTCTGTATCATTGTATTATGACACATGTCAATTTTATGTGTCTTTAAAAATTCTGCCAATTTCTATATGTATATGAAATAAAATAAAGGAGGGACACGAAAGAGAGATTACATATCACTAACTCATTTATTATTAAGAATTCTATTTTTTTGTTACGTAAAATTTTAAAAACTATGACATTTATCTATTTCTTAAAACATTTATCTATTTCTTAAAAACCAAATCGCTATCTTAATCACAAAAAAAAACCGTGCCTTGCACGGGTCTGAAACAAGTATATAACTTCTTAAACCTCTCTCCTCTCTTTCTTCTTCCTCCACCCTGCTTCGTTCTTCACCAATTTCTTCGCAAAGAAGCCCCAAAATTTTCTCAATTTATCCTCTGCCATTCCCAAAATACCCTCTTCCTTGTTCTAATTGATCCTTCCGATCTCACAAGTTTCTTCATCCACTTTCTCAGTTTCTCTTTTCGGTATTTTTGCTTTTTTGGTTAAAAGTGAAGGAATCATGGAGCATTACAAGAAAGAAGTGAGAGAGATCGAGATGCATTTGAGCAAAAACCCTCGTGCCCAAGTTCCTCAGCACCACCATAATGATCATCATCATCATCATCATCGCCATGGCCACGCACATGCCTATGGCTATGACCATGCCCGTGTCCATGCAAGGGATAATTTGAGCAAACTGATCGATCATCTTCAATCTGTGAGCATCACTGAAGAACCCAACAACCCTTTTCTCCTTGAGAGAAATCTCAGGGGTCTATCTCCTAGAAACCCAATAAGCCCTTTTAACGGTGAAAATCACAATGCGGGCTTCTCTTCTTCTTCAATTTCCAATTCATCTTACCCCAAAAAATTTGGTTTTGACCCTTATTGGGATTCCTACAATTTGAACCTTTCAACTCATCGAAGATGTCAGAATGATGAGAGGTTTGATTACGAATTAAGGAATAGGAGGGGATTTGCAAATAGGGGTTTGTATGGTCCTGTGAACGAAAATTCGGCTATTTATTTACTTGCGAAAGATCAGCAAGGGTGTAAGTATTTGCAGGAAAAGATTCATAAGGGGAAGGATCAAGTGGATTTGATCTATGATGGGGTTTTTGGCCACATGGGTGAGTTGATGATGGATCCCTCCGGGAGCTCTTTGATGCAGAAGTTGTTTGAATTATGTAGCGAGGAGCAGAAGACAAGGATTGCACTTGCGCTCAAAGAAAACCCAGTAGCCTTCTTTGAAATTTCTGTGGACGAGCATGGGTATTGTGTCTATTGCCCACTTTTAGTTCCTGCTCATCGATATTATTTATGTTGAGTTCTCCTTTACGTGTATTTAGAGTTGCACTCCGTAAGCGTTCATGGTTCTCGATCTATATCCTATTGGTTGGTTGTTTGTTATCAGTTATATAGCTCTATGTAAGTTAAGTTCCTAGAACTTGTAGACTAGGGAACTTGACATATATATGATTGAAGAGCTTGTTAAAAGGAAAATTCTTAACACGATCCTTTATGGATCATACTGATGATGAAATAATGTGTGATAAAAAAAATGAGTGTAGTGGAAAAGCAAATGTTATGATGAGTAGCAGATATAACATAAGAAATGAGTACTTTTGTAGGAAGTTGGAGGTCTATGTTTCATTTGTATAACAGGCATCCTAATTTTATTATATTGTACATCATTTTAGGACCATGTCTGTGCAGAAGTTGATTGAGAATTTCAAAACCCGTGAGCAAAGCACTCTGTTTATGACAGCTCTTAAACCCTGGCTCCTTGATCTCATCAAAGACATTAATGGAAATCACGTGATAAAACATTGCCTCAAATCGCTTGTGCCAGAGGATACTAAGGTGCGAGTTTCCTTTTTCCTTAGCTTACCTTGACTCTCATGATTGAATGTCTAGCTATATAGGCAGGGAATTCTGTGCCTGCAAATGTTTATTTCTTTGTCTAGTTTTGAGATGAATTGTGAACAATGACTGTGAAATTTTCCGAGTCTGAACAGTTTTCCCCTTTATTAGCCTGAGATGGCTTATCCAGATAATGCTGAGGTCTAATTGGCTAAATTAGCCTACGTTTTCATGCTATCTGAATAGTATTGGAAAATTAAAATTTCCACGATCTTTTGGCCAGTTCTAGATAATCGTTTTCTTTTTTTATGATGTTTACTACCATTATATAGGTACCGCGTATGCATAATTGGGGATGATATAGGTACCACCTATGCATAATTGTTGACTAGAGGATGTTTATTTTAGTGTTTTTTTTTTGTTGGGGGGGGGGGGCGGGGGGGGGATATATGTCTATTGCATATTAATGACTAGGAGTTCAATTAGACTCCTTTGTGGAATTTCTCCCTCACGTTTTATTGATTGGTTGCTGGAAGCATTTATCGAGTACCTACGGACAACACTTTAAATATCGAATATTAGGCAAATATGGAATGGCCAAATTCATATTAGATTGTGGATATCAGAGAAATATTGAGGATATATGGTAAATATTGGAATGCCGTACTAGATGTTTGCATATATAGTACAATGCACTAAAATGTAATCTCAACTTACTTAATGAAATCTAAACATGCAAAATGTAAATAATACATGTTTAGGATCACTAATTAACCTTGTAAAACAAATAAAAGTACAAATCAATGTTGCAACATTTTGTCTGATTTTTTAAGGCCAAAATGTCATTTGATATAATGGGAAATTCATGATATCTCCCTCAAAAACTACCAAACGTGATATATTGTTTTGCGACAAG